GCAAGTAGGATATACAACTTCTTTATTATCTTTAGTAGTCTCACAGTCCCTGAACCATATTATTTTCCCTACAGCCTAGCTCTCCCTGCAATGTAGACTAAAAACTAGTCTCTGAAATGAACATATTTTACTGAAAAATGTTCATAGTAAAAAAATATATAATATAATGAAAAGGAGCCCTGAGACTTTCTTCATTTTCAGAGTCCCTGAAGCTGAGGAAATCTAGACTTGCCACATTTTCTAGACTTGCGTGGGCTTTCTTGGATATATTTGCTTCAGGGTCTGTACGAAAGACTACCTGCAATGCTAAAGCACTAAAATAAGCAAGTTTAGATTTCCCTGGGTTCGGGTTCTGAATCTCTGGTCTCCCTTTTCAATTTAAATGGGTGTATTTGTTACAATCAAAATTATATATATTCAGAGACTAAGCGTTAGTCTACAACATGAGCGACGTTTCGGTGTAGCTACTAACACCTTTATCAAGCAAGAGATAGAAGTGTAGAAGATACACTGCCGTCGTTGGTGGTAGTCAGTATGAAAGCAGCAAGAAACGGTTATTCTATGGTGTATGTGTCATAGGGGTATCATTCCTGGCATCAATGACTATCACACAACAGGTAACATGTGCATAGCGTCATGGAGATCGCATTTTCACAGTTCCAGCATCTGAACCAAATTGTCACTCTTCCTTAAGAAAGGTTCTTGTATCTCAACTTAAACGTCACACTTGTTCAAAAAGGAAATTGTTTCTGAATGAATACGTCACACTTGCTTTAAGAAAGATTCTTGCATCTGAGCCAAAACGTCCACTTGTGCAAGAAAGGTTCTAGCATCTAAACCAAAATGTCAGACTTGCGTAAGAAAGCTTTGATCATCGTAACTAAACTGTGACACTTGCTTTAGCAAAATTCTTGTTTCTGAATTAATAAGCTGCACATGCCGAAGAAAGATACAAGCACTTGACCTAAAACGTCACACTTGCTGAAGAAAGGATCTAGCATCCGTAGCATCTGAACCAAAACGTACCGCTGATATCCTGAATCTGAAATCTTCAAGTTCCATTTTCCGTTGTGCTTCAGGCTTTATGCCACATGATGTACAGAAGCTGTTTGCTGAGGAGACGAGGTCCAGTCTAGTATCTTTCATGATCGTGTCTCTCAACGCTACCAGGGTTAAATTACTTAGGTACGTGTCTTAAAGGGAGGGTTCGGTTAGCTCGGGACGTGTCAGTCGACCGTTATATGGCATGAGCTAGGGTACTACAAGGCTTAGTGGGTGGAAGCTCAAACAGACTGTATTGATTCACTTTAACTTCAGGGGATCTTTGTGCAGAAGACCATTCATCTACCACTGATTGGTGTTTTCAGAGGCCATATAACAGATCATATTATATGGTTTCTGGTGTGTTCAATAGAAAAGAAGTATACAGGAATATGTAGACGGATAGAGACGGGCAAATAGCGACAAATACAGACAGATAGCGACACATACAGACAGGGTTATACTGACAGATACATACAAACATCTACCGACAGATAGACACATAACGACAGATACAGACAGATGCAGACAAACATCTACCGACGGATAGACACATAGCAACAGATACAGACAGGGTTATACTGACAGATACAGACAAACATCTACCGACAGATAGACACATAGCGACAGATACAGACAGAAAGAGACAGATACAGACAGGGTTATACTGACAGATACAGACAAACATATACCGACAGATAGACACAAAGCGACAGATACAGACAGAGACAGATGCAGATAGGGTTATACTGACAGATACAGACAAACATCTACCGACAGATAGACACATAGCGACAGATACTGACAGATACAGACAGATACAGACAGGGTTATACTGACAGATACAGACAAACATCTACCGACGGATAGACACATAGCATCAGATACAGACAGGGTTATACTGACAGATACAGACAAACATCTACCGACAGATAGACACATAACGGCAGATACAGACAGATGCAGATAGGGTTATACTGACAGATACAGACAAACTTCTACCGACAGATAGACACATAGCGACAGATACAGACAGATGCAGATAGGGCTATACTGACAGATACAAACATTTACCTACAGATACAAACAGATAGCGACAGATACAGACTGGGATATACTGACAAATACAGACAGAACAATGAAGATGTAAACAGGCATACTGTTGTATCAGTATATTATAAATAGACCTCAAGCAGTAAATTACGCCAGAGACCATATGATATTAGATGGCCTCTGATTACACACTGTACGTACTCTACAAATTCCGCAATGCACAATATTTTAAAGCAAGCACTCGGAATCAAAGGATTCGGAACTACAACTTGAACCAGCGAACTCGTCCATTGTTTAGTGTACACAGTACTGTTTTTCCGGTATTTGGTTAGGATACATTTCGGTATTGTCACGTGTTGATTCCCAAGTGGAAACGGAAACCCGGATATCAGCCCGCAAAAGAACTCTTTCGTTGTGAAAACAACAAAAAACAAGGAGAGGTGAGGTGAAATGGGGTTTAATGTCGTGCTTGAGAATATTTCGCTCATATGACGACGTGCATGCGTGTGTATGTGTATGTGTATGTGCGGCTGCTTGTACTAGCCCAGACTGAAGCTGGTTTTACAGTGCTAGCCCACTGAGATACCATGCCGCAGTGAAGCATGAATACCCCACTCAGACACATTATACTGACTCCGAGCCGACCAGTCCTTGTTGTACCCATTAATGCCGAGCGCCAGGCAGGGACCAACAAGTACCATATTTTAACGTCTTTTGGTATGACGCGGTCGGGGATCGAACCCGCGAGCTTCCGCTCTCCGGGCGGACGCTCTAACCACTACACCACGGAGGCGGTCACAAATAACAAAGAGATGTAATTAACAATTGTTTTCTGGCGAGAGTTTACAAACTGATACCATTCAACACCAAGGTATTACAGTGGTAGTACAGATTCAAAGGCATTCTACAAAAGCAGGGAATATAGCAATAAAGACAGATTGGTAATGTTCACGGCACTGTAAAAAATGGTCAAGTTTCCAAAGTAGGCTGAGTATCCAGGGTATCATCTCCAAGTTTCCAAAGTAGGCTGAGTATCCAGGGAATCATCTCTAACTTGAAATGTTATGTGAGATGGGAATCAAGAGCTATCTCCTCATTCACACCTAAGAATATTACTCCAGAAGATTCTCAAACTCCCCAGGGGCAGAATATAGACAAGCGGAAAGTCCAATAGGATTGTATTATCTTTTATCATCCATATGGTGAAACATAACCAGTGTCATATATATCATATGAGCACATGTGCACATATCACTTTTGCCTAGCAACCATTGTTTCTGTATTTCGTCGTCTGTGACGTCATTACACAATTGAACGTGACACGTGAATGAAGAGGGCAGTCACACTTGCTTACCGTGTTTTACTGCTCGAATGTACATGAATAAAATGGATAATAAAGAAATTATTACACTCGCAAGTGTGCCACTCGACTTATACGAAAATACAAAATTTCACACTCGTTGCGTATAAGTCGTATGACACACTTGCGAGTGTAATAATCTTTATGTAGTACCTTCCAGAACTATGTGTAAATATAGCACACCACTGCCGCTCATTGTCTATCCACATACACAATGTCATACACTTGGAACAAAGTTACATTATGAATGACACTACCACACCACAGTATACTAAAACGTACCCTGTGAAGCACAATAGTGCAGTGGTAAGGCGTCTGCCTATCACGCTGAAGGCCCGGGTTTGATCCCCAGTGGAGGCACCTACAGCGTGATGACAAAAGTATTCGCGACAATTCAAAATGGCGGAAGTAAACACATGACCGTATGAAAACTCTAAACAGCGATATTTCAAAAAAAAGAATTATGTCTCACCTCAGTACTTGGTCAAGTTCCCCTTGGAGCGTATGCAGGCCATAATCCGTCGTGGAATTGATTCATATAAGTTTCTAACATAGTGTAGAGTGATATTTGTCCAGACATCGTAGATGGCATCATACAGTTCGTCAGTGGTCAGGATAGTTTGTGATCGTCGCTGTAGTGTTCTTTTGATGTGTAGCCATACATTTTCAATAATATTGATATCGGGAGACTGTGCAGGCCAAGTCATGCAATTTACAGCATTGTCACGCTTGTATTCCTGAATAATTCGTGCCCGATGCACCGGAGCATTGTCATCTTGAAACCGATATGGTTTGTTGTTGAAGTGCCGAGCTATAACGGGCCAGAGGTTGTCTTCAAGTATTTCACGATACTTGACAGCATTAATATTACCATCAACACGACACAAGGTGCCAACACCGTACCAAGTTAAAGAACCCCAGATCATAACTGATAACCTGGCCTGTTTCGAGTGAATCGTGCATTCGGGACGATAGGCTTCATGCGCACTTCTCCACACGAAAACTCTTCCATTCTGACCAATAACTACCTGCAATTCATCACTGAATATCACCTGTTTCCACTGATTTTGTACTGTCCAAATTCTCCTTTCCAAACACCAGTGAAGTCGTTTCCTTCTGTTCACTTCCTTCACAACAAGGCGCTTTCTAATAACCCGACGAAAAACACCATTCCGATGCAAAACTCTTTGAATTGTTCTACTGTTTACTTGTTGATGTTGACCAACATTATAATCATGGGTAATGTCTCTTAGAATGTTAAATCTATTCTTGCGCACACTCCTCAACAAAACATGTTCACTACGAATACTCACTTTTTTCGGCCTACCAATTCGTCGGCTGTTTTCAACATTACCACGATTCAAATATTTTTTCCAAACATACCGAATTGTTGATTCAGGTACACCTAATAATTTCACAATGTCAGAAGTTTTCTTTCCATTCCGTTTCAAATCCACAATTAGTTCTTTCGTACTGATGTTGAGTTCCTTTGATTTTCGGCCCATTGTTTACAGCAGACGATTTCTGCATTCCAAGCAGACGACATATAACGTCATTGCACATGCGCACTAATCGTATATCAAGCTCACAAGCGACGTATCAAACATGAAAATCTGTTCAGTATTTGCGAAGCAAGAGACAAAATACGAGACGTTTCAATCAAAGCCGAACGGTCATATTTGCCAAATCGCGAATACTTTTGTCACGACGCTGTAGGCTCGGATTCCGAGGTTGGCACATGCATTTGCGTCGTATCCTTGGACAATATACTTAGATCCACATTGTCTCAGTTCACCCAGCTGTAAAATGGGTACCCGTGAGGATGTGCTGGCAATGTGAGTGCTTAGTTCATTGGCCTAACAGGCAACATGGTTGTACGATCCCCAGGGAGTTAAACAAGTATCGGAAAGTACGATAGTGTCCTATGAGCAGGGATAGTAATGTACGTAGCGCCGTGAGCAGGCAATGTGCCTGGATATGAGCGCCAAATAAGCGGACAATTACAATTACCCAGGTATTCATCTGCAGCAAACATGCCAAACACAACTATATATCTGGTTGGCGAGAGTGATGAGATACAGAGATTAATGAAAGAAATATAGAATAACCTTTATTCACGAGTTTAATATGTACCATGTTATTTGATAGCTTTCTCCTATAATGTGGTGGATGACTGAACATGTATGTCACTGTTAATAGATCTTTAGAGACGTATAAATTAGAATGAGAATGGCTGTTCAAGAGGTATTAAACTGTGTATTATATCTCTCTACATGTGGTGTTCACAGCAACAAACCAGTATACTGCACGACTGTACTCTTGTACTAGAGTTAGGCTTAATAAACATCCATGCTGTGACACCTGTGTTATCACCATGACAATCTGGGGCAGAATTCAGAGGAGCATATAGACCGACATTTAGTCTCTCAAATAAAGTTGTCTTATTTGAAAATATATATCTAAAAATATGAACAATTCTAAGATGCCTAGCGGTTAGAACCATCGAAAAAAAACAACATTATCAGACAATAAAGGTATAGTTTTTTGATGACGTAACAATTGAATGACGTTATGCCATCACTGCGCCATTCTAGTGTGCCCCCTCGTAATCGAACCATTTTACATTACGTCACAACGTAAGCGACGTCACGATGCATGTCAGTTGTCATCGCCTCGTACGGCCTCCTACAGTAAACTACTCCGCTGCATCCCGTTTCTTGGTTTGCAGTTGCTTCACCCAGCTAACATCATTGGTGGAAACATTACGTTTATGTTTTACGACGGTTAAAATGTGTCAATTCGACTCACAAGTTTTCAGCGACACGGTAATGTTCGCAATGTTTACATTCCCACAATGCAATCGTGGAATGTCGCTTGACTACTCAGCTTCATTTGGATGTACTGATCTTGCGCAAGCGTCCTCGTACTTTAACTATAATAGTTCAGGGCGAAAGTGTGTTTTATTACACAATACATGGTGGTAGAGCGAACTGTATTTCTTAAATATAATCCGAAAGTAGGCCAGGACTATTTTTTATTTCAGAGCTGAAGAAAGCCAGATTTGACAAATCAATCTAGACTTGAGCTAGTAATAAGATACACTCTAACACCCCCCACCCCCCAAATACAAAATAGCACCAAACAAAATACCCAATTAGGCAGATCGATGATCATGATGTTGATCACTGGATTGCCTGGTCCAGACTCGATTATTTACAGACCGCCGCCATATAGCTGGAATATTGCTGAGTGTGGCGTAAAACTAAACTCACTCACTCACTCACCAAACAAAATAACGCCCACACAAAACTCAAAACCAAAACATAAACCAACCCCAAAAGTAAAGTAAAATAAAGCCTTGGAGCAATCTAGGGAGGCTCTTAATTATTACATCGCTAGTCGGTCAGTGGTCAACATCTTAAAGACACAGGCTCCATTTTCAAGTTTGATAATTATTAGACAACAATTATCAAATAGTTTTGATCCCCTTTCAGGTTGAGAGGATATCTTGCTGTTAACAGCAATAAACCAACCATTGGAGCTGCAACAAGGTACAAACACTCCACTGCAGACCCTGACACGGTTGTTTTTTACTCCTTAGGGATAAATATGTCGCTGTACGGAGTTTAGGAAAATATGTGCGTTCCTTCAACATGGTGCCCAACTTTTCAGTAAATCACTGTTTACTGTAAAATATACATTGCGATCGTCAAAAATGTTGGTTGTCTTAAATCTTAAAGTCTGTGAGACCGTCTTCTAAACAGGATTTGGGAACTCGACATTAGTATATATTTTTATTTTTTTTCGTACATAATGACTCACACTTATGAACATGGCGTCAATTTCACCAAGATATTTAACATAAAGGACTGGTGATGTCTCGGAGCTAGGTTACTTTTATACACTCTGGGGTGATGTTCTGCAAATCACCAATAGCATCTTTATAGTCTCGCCGCGCTGCCGGGCTCACTACGGGGGATATTTCTCAGCTGCTTGGCATTCACCTCCTGTTCTTGGAGGTCAGGTGTGACATGACGTCATACGTACCGTCACCTTCGTCTCCAGTCACAAACACAGTTACACCCCTTTTAAACTCATTCCTCAATAACGCTGTATATGTTGCCAAACACTGATCTATGCCGTCACTCACGCTGCAGTTCCATGACATCGACCGTAACATCCCCAACACTGTCGCCGTGGTTGGAACGTCAACACTCAACTCCAACATATTTTTTACAAATTATTATTGCAGATTGTTATAATTTATAATTTTTTTATGTCGGTATGTATGTGACGGAAGGCAAAAGCAAATATACTCATGCCAATAATGGTTGTCACCCCCTTCAATTTTTTTAATTGGAGAGGGTGTGGGAGTGTGAGGTGTGTGTGTGTGTGGGGTGGGGTTTAGGGTTGGGAGGGGAGACAAACCATTATTGGCATGAGTATACAAGAAATTCCTTTTTCTGGTTGTGATCAAAGATTTTCAATATTTTAGGTGCAGGAAACTCTCATCGCTTCTGACATCATCAGTATTTGATAGTGATTCATAAAACACTTAATCATGATGTAGGACAAAAAGGGGATCTTAGGCAAACAAGAGAATGGGTTTGTTATTACTGATCAATAAATCATTCAACACCTCTATATGATATTACGAAATATTGCTAAAAGTGGCGTAAATCTACACTCAATCAGCGCCCTGTGGTCAAATGTGCAGTGGTATAGCGATTCAGACAAAGGATCAATTATTTGCGTGATGTTTTTGACAAACTGTTGGGCAAATTTATTTACTTGAAATTTGGATTAGACCAAAATCTTACATACGTTATCAAACCATTACCAGGCTTCAGTTGCAGCTGAGATACCGTTTCAAATACATCCACCATTACTTGTTTGGGTCATGTTTCAGACATGGGTGTATGGTTTCTCCTGCGCGGCAGTTTAGCTTGTTTGCTGTCACGTTTAACGCCGCATTCAGCAATACGTCAGCGTTTTCTAGAAAGTGAGTATAGTTTTACGCCGCTTTTAGCAATATTCCAGCAATATCACGGCGGAGGGATACCAGAAATGGGCTTCACACATTGTACCCATGTGGGGATTCGATCCCAGGTCTTCGGCGTGACGAGCGAACGCTTTAACCACTAGGCTACCCCACCGTCCGTTCTAGAAAGTACAATATACAAGGTCACTGAAGAACGTAAAACGTACATAGTTATCAGGTCGGTAGTCGAGGAGTAATGCTTTAACGGCTCCGTAGCCAGCTGACAGTGACGATTCAAGGTTGCTGATACAGTTGACGTCGCTGGCGTCTCCGCTATGTGTGCGTGCGGCGTGATGTCAAGGAGGCATGCTGGAAGCTGACAAAGGTATTTCTCTAGCTGAAGCAAGTGGAAAACTATTCGTGGTTATTTGTCAGCGGCGATACTCAGACACCATCCTGCAAGAAAAACGAGATTCCCATGTTCCTCTGACAGATGCACATATGCCACTCGTCTCTTTCCGTCACCACTCGCGACAACTCGTGACGCGTCGGATCAGTCACGAGCTAAGCGTTTTCCCGAATGGTGACCTTGACCTACAGAACGACGCAGAAATGTTTCGTTTCATGGGAAACGTAATGCTCCGGACTTTCCCGAATGGTGACGGATGAAACCGACAGCGATTATAAAAGCATGTAATGAGTACGAACAGAATACTCGGTTTGCACTCTTGTCTCACGCTGAGCATCAGTGAGTGGTTATAAATCTAATGTGAAGACAAGGACTATCACGGATATATAAGTGGTGTATAAAAACATGATTATTATTTCGTACAAACCATGCACAACGTGGTAATAAGTCACTCCATGACAGCGCCGGTAGATAACCTACATTATTTACCACCAACAGTAATAGGGACATTCTCCTTGACACCAGGGAGAATAGAAGACGTGCTGTATAGATTATCCCTGTTCACACCGACCCCGGAACGTGGTCCTAAGACGGACAGAGTTGCGTCCCTTACAATGTCAGGATCACACAAATATACGCTACTGCCCAAATTATTAATATTGGAACAGACTGAGACACTAAGACTGGGTACCTCTCAGCTGATTTTATCATGATTGCATTTCAATTGGAAATATCATTGTTCAGTGATATTATATCCAAACATAATCTGTATGACGCTTAGGCAGCACTTCAGGCATCTTCAGCAACCCATGCTTGTCGTAAGAGGCGACTAACGGGATCGGGTGGTCAGGCTCGCTGGCTTGGTTGACACATGTCATCGGTTCCCAATTGCGCAGACCAATGCTCATGCTGTTGATCACTGGATTGTCTGGTCCAGACTCGATTATTTACAGACCGCCGTCATATAGCTGGAAGATTGCTGAGTGCGGCGTAAAACTAAACTCACTCACTCACTCACTCCCAGCAATAGCGCAGCGGGGGACGCCATGATCCACTATTTTGTCGGAGAGTATACCACTGAAAATGATTGTGAGCAAATGCTAACTGATCAGTGTACCCAATGAAAACTCAGTGAATTAGCAAAAATAATCACCACTTCTATATCCCATCTTATTCACCTTTTGTCTCTGTGTATGAAAACTAAACTAAAAGGTGAGCGTATGAGGCATTTACCTTCCAGGTAAGTCTAAAAGCGACAAAGATAACAAATATCCCGTTATCTGCTAAAACAGCTTCCATTGGGCGTAAACAGTAAAACATGTTGAAAATTATCTGAAATGAATCCACGTGTTTGCAATATGGGAAAGCTTATTCTGCCCTTCTGGTAGCAGTGCCATCCGCAGAAGTTGCATAGCAAAGGTGACTGGTTGTCTAACGCCCAAGAAGGACGGTTGGAAGTCTGTCTCACAGTCCCTGAACCACATTATTTTCCTTACGGCCAAGCCCTATCTGCAGTGCTAAAGCCCTAAATAAAGCAAGTCTAGACTGAATCTCTGCTCTCCCGGGGGGTCCTTTTCAATTTAAATGGGCTTGTTTGTTACTCTCAAAATTATATATATTCAGAGACTAAGTGTTAGTCTAGACCGTTGGGTAACTTAATGGTTAAAACGGCAGCGCGCCACGCTGATGACCCGGGTTTGATTCCCCACATGGGTAAACCTAACGAAGTCTGTTTCTGGTGTCCCCGACGTGATATTGCTGGAATATTGCTAAAATCGGCGTAAAATTAAACTCACTCACTCAGACAACATAAATGTTTCTTGTGACTTAAGAGATGGGAGAGATTATCTGAGATTGTACAAGACTATCCGGGACATCACGGATCGCTCTTTATAGATATCAAGGGATAACATCGGTTGGGGGGTGTAGCGTTACAGAGAGCCCATGGTTAAAAGGTATAGCCCGTCCCACAGTCCTTGACGGTCTATTTCTGTGCAGGACGGTCTATTAAATATATAAGGCCGTCCTTCGGTTGGGGGAAATGTTTGAACAAAAATATACTTAACTTGGTTTGACCTTCGTCTCAGCAATTATGATCTTTCTCGTTTTCGTTTCAACATGTGTTGATTTTTTTTATTGTTTTAGTTTCTGGGACTGTTTGTGTTTGTTCAGGACTGGTCACAGGACTGGTTCGAGGACCATGAGACGGACTACGCCACCACCTACTGTATAATTATGTATCTAGTCTGAGACAAACGGTCCCTGATCTAGTCTATACACTACAATAGTCCAGTTTCACAGAGAGGGTGAACAGCGCAGCCACGTGGAGCCAGCTCTCTCTGGACATCGGTCGTATTACACAGGGCAGGAATCCAACGCATGCAAGACGCAGCAGTGGTCAATTAGCTTCCGCGTGGGTACGTCCATTAAACAGACAGGACATCTGTACTTTCAGTTAGCTGATGGAGGAGAGTGGGGTCCAGCAACGCTGTAGTATCTCATTACACGGTAGACTGGACGCATGTTATTCCACTTACAGATGTCGGGTTGTCAGGAACCCATCCTCAAGCCAAACTTCACAGTTCGTTGAAGCAAAGGTCAATTATAATATACTCCCGGAATGGTTCAGTTGAATTCTTTAAAGGAACCCTCAAGTATGTAATAGGGTCTATCTCAAAGCTAAAATTAATACACAGTTCGCCCGAGAATGAAAGGACACATAGTCCGCTAAGTACAGTTTTATGTACAGTTGAATAATATTCTAATAAGGAACTCCCGTGTGTTAGGAAGCCCCAAGAATCTTAACCTTGAGCTGAAGCGAGGATGATCATTACATGGGTTGCTGTTGCTGAGATAATAATAATAATAATACTTTATTGCCCGACAAAGGAATTCCTTTTACAACAGTGAGGCATACAGCATGGTTAAAACAAATTAAGCAAAGAACAACGATCACCTTAAACACACAGATAAACAGGAGGAGAAGGATAACCCGTGTATACTGTAAGAGACTAGTAGTCAAATACATTTAAAATTGTGGCTGGGTCTAACATTCATTTAAAAGTCTAATGCTAACAGGTATTAAAGATGTTTGGGACCTTTTTGTGCGAACTTTAGGTACGAGGAATCTACGACCAGATGGTAAAAGTGTAAAACAAGAATGTAAATCGTGAGACGGGTCGGATAAAATTTTGTTCGCAGACATTAAAACACGATTCTCCTACATATAACAAAGGGGGTTAAAATTCATGCCGACAACTTTTGAACAGATGGTTACAACTTTTTGCAGTTTGGGAGCGAGACTGGAATGGGATGATTGTTTTATTGAATATATGTTCTGGGATCTATTACAAAATGTGTTAAAAAGCCTTACACTGTATATTCTTTAGCAAATCTTTTCAAGAATAGTAATGTAGACACTGTAAAATCTGTTGCCTTGTATCTATTTTATGTTAAAAGGATTATTATAAACACACATGAATGCACATTGTGCCCCTGACTACACTGAAATTTCCTTTTGAATGTATTTTGGGCCTACGGCCTTTTACTGGAAATAAACTCTGTCTGTCTGTCTGTTCTCGGATCTGTACGGGAGACTACTGTGATATTACTACTTACAAAACAAACACCGCTGTTACTACCATGGATACAACTACTGTATCTACCATTGCCCTCACTAATGCATCTGAAACTACCATATCACTACCATAAGTAGTCTGTCTCACAGTCCCCGAACCACATTATTTCCCTACTGCCAAGCCCTATCTGCAATGCTAAAGCCCTAAATAAAGCAAGTCTAGATTTCCTCTGAATCTCTGGTCTCCCTGGGCTCCTTTTTAATTTAAATGGGCTTGTTTGTTACTATCAGAATTATATATATTCAGAGACTAAGCGCTAGTCTATACTATAAGCATCGCCTCTAATCAGATGTTATTATAATAAAAGGATATAGTCTCTGCTCTAACACTACAAAGACTAATACTAAATGAATATGGCTTAAGGCCGTATTGATCAGCGACGTTGCAGCTGTTCTCGGGGAAAAAACATCTTTTGTTTTACACTATATTAAACAAATACCCCTCCCATCCTTTCTCCATCAACTACTACTACTACCACTACTACTGCTGCTGCTACCACTACTATTACTACTACCACTACTACTGCTACTACTTCTACCACTACTACTACCACTACTACTACTACTACTACTACTACTACAACTACTACTACTAACTACTACTACTACTACTACCATTACTATAGTATGACCAGGAATTATTGAGAATTTTAGGAATATGTTTAATTGGATTTCTAGTATAAACAACCTTGACCAGCTATCAAGTGCTTGGTTTCATTCAAGAGAGACAACTCCGTTAATCCTTTTTCATTAGTTTGTGAAGAGTTATCCCCCTTTGTTTACTTGCTAGCAGACGACATTTTCAGTGATCCACAGTATGGATGATTTAGAGAAGAGGAAGTTGATTTTAGAGTATTATAACAAGGACATCAGATCTGCTAAAGTGATTTCAAGTGGAACAGGCATCCCTTTGTCCACTGTTTATCTGGTTTTGAACAATATTGCAAATGGATATGGCATTGAGCACCAGGGAGGCGCAGGTAGGCCCAGAAAATTGACTGTCGGTGACAGGAGGCGGCTTGGTATTCTTGTTTCTAAAACAAACGAAGGAGTTTAGAAAACTTAAGGCTGGATATGATTGATAGAGGAACTGTGGCTGTCTGTAAGGAGACGATTAGATATGAGCTGCATGCAATGGGTTGGCAGAAAAGTCGAGGAATTCCATCACCGATCATGAAACCTGAACAAAAGGAGTGAAGGTTGAACTGGTGCTTACAGCATAGAAATTATAACTGGGACAATGTGATTTTATCAGATAAAAGTTTTGTGTGGCTGTTTCGTAATACACTGAAATTCTGGACCAAACAAACTGAAAAACCTTTGTATCAGCGCCCAAAGTACAGTCCGAAATTTAACGTGTGGGGTGGCATATCTGTGTTAGGGGCAACGCCCCTCTGTATTTGAAGGGAATATGAACAGTGAGCGGTACACAGATATTCTCGAGGGACATTTACTTCCATCTGCTCACGTGTTCTATGGAAATGTTTTGATTTTCCAGCAGGACAACGACCCAAAACATCGTTCAAAGCATTCACAGGCCTTCGGACCCACAATACGACATTATTAGATTGGCCAAGCTATAGCCCTGACCTAAATTCAATAGAAAATGTTTGGGGACTTATGAATGAAAGTGTCAATAAGAAAAATCTGACAAATATTGCTGAAATGAAAGAAGAGGTGGTCCGATATTGGGACAGCATGGACCACGACTTTCTAACTTCTTTGATCAGTAGTATGCCCCGCCGCATTGAAGCCTGCATTGCTGCCCATGGTGACTTGACAAAATACTGTTCACCTGCCTTTGAATCTGGAGTTATGTTCTGCTAATATTCATATTTAATACGTGAGTAATGAGTGAAAAAAATATAAATTTTTTAGAATCTTTAAATTCTCAATAATTTCTGGCTGTACTGTACCAATACTGTCACTACTACTGATACTACTTTTACCACCACTACAACCCTTTCACGACACTTCAATATATCAACTATGATATATACATACACGAGTTACAACCCTTTCAGAAAACTTCAATATATCAACTATGATATATACATACACGAGTTACAACCCTTTCAGAAAACTTCAATATATCAACTATGATATATACATACACGAGTTACAACCCTTTCAGAAAACTTCAATATATCAACTATGATATATACATACACGAGTTACAACCCTTTCAGAAAACTTCAATATATCAACTATGATATATACATACACGAGTTACAACCCTTTCAGAAAACTTCAATATATCAACTATGATATATACACGAGTTACAACCCTTTCAGACACTTCAATATATCAACCCTGATATATACATACACGAGTTACAACCCTTTCAATATATCAACTATGATATATACATACACGAGTTACAACCCTTTCAGGACACTTCAATATATCAACTATGATATATACATACACGAGTTACAACCCTTTCAGAAACTTCAATATATCAACTATGATATATACATACACGAGTTACAACCCTTTCAGAAAACTTCAATATATCAACTATGATATATACATACACGAGTTACAACCCTTTCAGGACACTTCAATATATCAACTATGATATATACATACACGAGTTACAACCCTTTCAGGACACTTCAATATATCAACTATGATATATACATACACGAGTTACAACCCTTTCAGGACACTTCAATATATCAACTATGATATATACATACACGAGTTACAACCCTTTCAGAAAACTTCAATATATCAACTATGATATATACATACACGAGTTACAACCCTTTCAGAAAACTTCAATATATCAACTATGATATATACATACACGAGTTACAACCCTTTCAGGAAACTTCAATATATCAACTATGATATATACATACACGAGTTACAACCCTTTCAGAAAACTTCAATATATCAACTATGATATATACATACACGAGTTACAACCCTTTCAGGACACTTCAATATATCAACTATGATATATACATACACGAGTTACAACCCTTTCAGAAAACTTCAATATATCAACTATGATATATACATACACGAGTTACAACCCTTTCAGAAAACTTCAATATATCAACTATGATATATACATACACGAGTTACAACCCTTTCAGAAAACTTCAATATATCAACTATGATATATACATACACGAGTTACAACCCTTTCAGGACACTTCAATATATCAACTATGATATATACATACACGAGTTACAACCCTTTCAGGACACTTCAATATATCAACTATGATATATACATACACGAGTTACAACCCTTTCAGGACACTTCAATATATCAACTATGATATATACATACACGAGTTACAACCCTTTCAGGACACTTCAATATATCAACTATGATATGTACGGAGTTACAACCCTTTCAGGACACTTCTATATATCAACTATGATATATACATACACGAGTTACAACCCTTTCAGGACACTTCAATATATCAACTATGATATATACATACACGAGTTACAACCCTTTCAGGACACTTCAATATATCAACTATGATATATACATACACGAGTTACAACCCTTTCAGGACACTTCAATATATCAACTATGATATATACATACACGAGTTACAACCCTTTCAGGACACTTCAATATATCAACTATGATATATACATACACGAGTTACAACCCTTTCAGGAAACTTCAATATATCAACTATGATATATACATACACGAGTTACAACCCTTTCAGAACAACTTCAGATATATCAACTATGATATATGCATACACGAGTTACAACCCTTTCAGAACACTTCAATATATCAACTATGATATATACATACACGAGTTACAACCCTTTCAGGACACTTCAATATATCAACTATGATATATACATACACGAGTTACAACCCTTTCAGAAAACTTCAATATATCAACTATGATATATACATACACGAGTTACAACCCTTTCAGGACACTTCAATATATCAACTATGATATATACATTCTATATATCACGAGTTACAACCCTTTCAGGACACTTCAATATATCAACTATGATATATACATACACGAGTTACAACCCTTTCAGGACACTTCAATATATCAACTATGATATGTACGGAGTTACAACCCTTTCAGGACACTTCAATATATCAACTATGATATATACATACACGAGTTACAACCCTTTCAGGACACTTCAATATATCAACTATGATATATACATACACGAGTTACAACCCTTTCAGAATCACTTCAATATATCAACTATGATATATACATACACGAGTTACAACCCTTTCAGGACACTTCAATATATCAACTATGATATATACATACACGAGTTACAACCCTTTCAGGACACTTCAATATATCAACTATGATATATACATACACGAGTTACAACCCTTCCAAGTCACTTCAATATATCAACTATGATATATACATACACGAGTTACAACCCTTTCAGGACACTTCAATATATCAACTATGATATATACATACACGAGTTACAACCCTTTCAGAACTCTTTATCAATATATCAACTATGACATATATCAACTATACACGAGTTACAACCCTTTCAGGACACTTCAATATATCAACTATGATATATACAAACACGAGTTACAACCCTTTCAGGACACTTCAATATATCAACTATGATATATACAAACACGAGTTACAACCCTTCCAAGTCACTGCAACAGGAGATCGACTATCATATATACGAAAATGGAGCTACCACCCCCTCCCGCCACTACAATAGAGATGAGTTACGCCCAACCAGGACGTTTCCTGTTACTGTGGGGAATGCTTGAAACATCACGCCAGTCTTGATTGAGTCTACACGTCACACAATAGCCTCCATGTTGGCAACCCGACCCGGCGTGACCTTCTAATCGCGGTCAGACCAAACACTCTCACGTGCAGGGCGGGGCGCGTTCAACCATCTGGCGAAGACAAGAGTGCGTTTCCGTGGAGAAATAGACTAACAACTGGTCTCTGAAATGAAAATATTTTACAGGAAAAAAGCTCATAGCGAAAACAATAAACATAATGAAAAGGAGCCCTGAGACTTTCTTCATTTTCAGAGTCCCTGAAGCTGTGGAAATCTAGACTTGCCACATTTTCTAGACTTGCGTGGGCTTTCTTGGATATATTTGGTTCAGGGTCTGTATGACAGACTAGTGGAGAAATAGACAAACGCTTTGTCTCGTAATTATTTCCTTTTGAACGAAATAATTCCATATAATTTCATAAGGAGCCCAAGTAAGCTGGGTCATTCTGAACCTGAAGACATTCTAGAGCTGTTTCATTGTGGGCTTTGCAGAAAGGGCTGGGCGGAAGGTAAAGATATATGGTTCAAGGACTGTGAGACAGACATGTGAAGGTTCCACATTCATAATACTTTGTGGGAATATTTATCCGGAGAGGACGTTCGCCACCGTGTCACAAATTGATTTCTCAACCGAATAGTGCTCATTAACAGGCAGATTGGACATTACTAAAATTCATTTTTCAACCTAAGCACTGTCAGACAGTAACATTGTCATAGCTATTGACTAGTTTGATTGGTGGCCTTAAATAACTATGTGTTGTTTAACGCAATCACATCACGCCATTGTACAACTCCATTATACAACTCTTATTCTATCTCTCCATCCAACAACTTATCCAACATCTCCATCCCACAACTCCGTCCTACAACTCCGTCCTACAACTCCACCCTACATCTTCATCCTACTTCTCCATCCTACATCTTCATCCTACTTCTCCATCCTACAACTCCATCCTACTTCTCCATCCTACATCTTCATCCTACTTCTCCATCCTACATCTCCATCCTACTTCTCCATCCTACAACTCCATCCTACTTCTCCATCCTACATCTCCATCCTACAACTCCATCCTACTTCTCCATCCTACTTCTCCATCCTACATCTTCATCCTACTTCTCCATCCTACATCTCCATCCTACAACTCCATCCCACAACTCCGTCCTACAACTCCACCCTACATCTTCATCCTACTTCTCCATCCTACATCTTCATCCTACATCTCCATCCTACAACTCCATCCTACTTCTCCATCCTACATCTTCATCCTACATCTCCACCCTTCACCTCCATCCTACAACTCCGTCCTACAACTCCGTCCTACAACTCCATCCTACTTCTCCACCCTACATCTTCATCCTACTTCTCCATCCTACATCTCCACCCTACATCTCCACCCTACATCTCCATCCTACTTCTCCATCCTACATCTTCATCCTACATCTCCATCCTACTTCTCCATCCTACATCTTCATCCTACATCTCCACCCTACATCTCCATCCTACAACTCCGTCCTACAACTCCGTCCTACAACTCCATTATACAACTCCATCCTACATCTTCATCCGACATCTCCATCCGACATCTCCATCCTACATCTCCATCCTACATCTCCACCCTACAACTCCATCCTACAATTCCATCCTACGTCTCCATCCTACGACTCCATCCTACAACTCCATCCTACATCTCCATCCTAGAACTCTAGTATACAACTCTATCATCCTACAACTCCAACCAGTAACTCCATTCCACACCTCCATCCAGGTACTAAATGCAGTAATTCTAAATGGTCCGAGCGGTTTATCCACAGCTTTACATTTCACTAGATACACAAACAGGGTGAAGGTTGCATTTTCTGCAAACTTTAGCTGCCTGAAATAACCGCCTCACGTGACCATTCGCAACTGTATAAATACGCAGTCTTTCTACGTCACAAAGTAAACATGCGCGGTATTTGACGCAGATAGGCCAGGCGTAGTAAACAGATGATCATGAAACGAATGCAAATATATTCAGGGTAGAGAACGTCTCTGGTCTTTACACTAATGACGCCCGAGGTTACTGGGTGCATATCCAATGGTGATAACGGAGGTCATGCTAGACTAACGCTCAGTCTCTGAATATATAGAATTTCCTTTTAAATTGAAAAATAACGAGAAGAGAGATTCAAAACTTGAGGGAATCTAGACTTGAGGGAATCTAGACTTCTAGCTCGACTTATAACATTGCAGGGAGGGCTGGGAGGAGGGTTAATAATTCGGTCAAGGGACTGTGAGACAGACACGCCGAGACTGGAACCAGTCTCTGCTATATCTTGATAACGATAACGATGCATCCTTGACGTGTTGGGGGCGGTGGGGTAGCCTAGTGGTTAAAGCGTTCGCTTGTCATGCCGAAAACCCGGGTTCGATTCCCCACATGGGTACAATATGTGAAGCCCATTGCTAAAAGCGGCTTAAAACTAAACTCACTCACTCACTCGACGTTTTGGATAATACGTCATATACAGTAATATTCAGACTGACGCACAGTATTACCGTTCCACCCATCCCTTACTGTAATTCAAAGTACTGAATGAGCAAGTCTAGATTTTCCTCAGGTTCTGAACCTCCCACTTACGTTTAAATGGAATTCAAAATTATATATTTTCACAGACCAAGTATTTGTCTTATTTTGTAATCGTTTAATGTTCCATTACATGTAAAACAGTCTTATTGTATTTAACGAACGTGCTGAAATATTGCACTGATTCAATACTTTGCTGTTTTCAGTGAGATCTTTTCTGTTTGATTAATTTTTGCACGTCTTGTTAAATTTTTTAATAAAAGCATTAAAAGTCTTTTTAATTTTTTAAAATTGATCACGTTATACGGTGAACTTGTTTTACCCGGGATCCATACCAGTTATTTACGAAGGAGAGTAGACTAACGCTTACGTTTAAACGGAATTCTTTTAAATGGAATTCTTTGCGTCTATCTAAATTATATATTTCCACAGACCAAGCATTTGTCTTATTTAGTAATCGTTTAATGTTCCATTTGTAGCCTTAAAACAGCATTTCTTTTGTTATTGTATTCAATGAACGTGATGAAATATTGCCCTGATTCAATACTTATTGTTTTTAATGAGGTCTTTTCTATTTGATTAATTCTTGCACATCTTGTTCTGAATTTGATTAAAGCATTAAAAGTCTCTTTTTAAAATTGATCACGTTTAATACTGTGAACTTATTTGTTTTACCCGGTAGCCATAGCAGTTATTTACGACGGAGAGAAGACCAATGCTTTGTCTCTGAATATATATATTTAATTTTTATAGAAACAAATAATTCCTTTTAAACTGAAAAGGAACCCAGTGATATGGGAGAAGCAAATTAAATATTCAGATTCAGAGTGAATCTGGACTTGATTCATTGGGGGCTTTAGCATTGCAGAAACAACTGGGCAGTGTGGAAAATATTCCGGTTCAGGATTTGTGAGACAGGGTAGGCGGAGAGTAGTAGTAGTAGTAGTAGTAGTAGTAGTAGTAGTAGTAGTAGTAGTAGTAGCAGAAGCAGCAGCCGGGGCAGCAGCAGTAGTGGCCACAGCACCACCAGCAGGAGTAGTAGTAAAAGGAGAGGGGAGGAGGCCAAAAGTAACTTGCCAATGTTTGCGCATATAAGCAGTGAGATAAGCTATCAGGAGTTACCTCCCTGTAATTTATACAAATTTTTTTATCTGCCCTTGCAACTGGTGTTGTGATAAGTGTCTCCACGCGCAGACAAACGTTCTGTAACATCCAGATTCAGTACCCCAGATTCAGGTGAACTAGAACGCTGATTATTTAACATTTACATTAGTTTTAACACCCTCTACCTCACGCACACGACACGACGATTGTCTCAATATACCGACTCAACAGCGCTGAAGGATTGTCTCAACTCTTTCGGGTCAAGATTCAGGGGGCAGGTCGAAGGTCAGTTTCCTGGTTTCTCAACTCCGAGGATTTTGATTTCATCAGTTATTTTTTTTAAAACTTATGTTTCCTCTTTTGAATAGACGTGATAGTTGCACTGTCAGATGCTGGTAGTCACCGTCAGCTCTATATCCCGTACGACAATGGAGTTACATAAACCTAAATACTGAGAGGCGTTGCCTGAGCAACCTAATGCTATTTGAAGCATTCGTAAAATAACACTGTATTGACGCATTGTGGTTGTTGTTTGGTCGTTGCTTTTATTTACCTTCTCACATGTCCGTTTCTGACAAATATGAACTGCATACTAGTGTTGGGAATTGGTTGAAATCTCACAATTGCTTCATTACCAACGAACAATCATCGAAAAAAATTGGTTAGCGTCATTTTTCAGATTTTCTTATCCAGGTTGTTATTGCAGATATGTATAACATGATGCAACTTGCTACTTTAAAGTGATGACTGATATATCGTGAACATAAACTTCCTGGAGTCTTAGAGAAATATTTTCAGATAGTGAAGTGAATTAAACACGTTTTCAGGCCCTCAACTTCTAAGATACGTTCCATTGTCAAGTATTTCAAAGACTAAAACAGTAGTTCCAAAATCGTTTATGTTCGATTATGAGAAAATGTGATCGATTGCTTGGTCGTTTGGTCACTGCGACCAATCTTCGATTATTTCAATTAATCGGAACACCACTACTGCATACTATTCAGACTTGGTACACATATACAAATAGGCTGTCAATGTCCGGACTTTAACAGATCTTCACATTGTTATATCTTTTTGTTTAATCAGTGATATTCACCGGGGTCTAAGAGCGGATCATGTGGATATTAGCGACCAACATGGTACCAAAGAACAACTATATTGTCTGTCTAAACGCTAGCTTCACTCCTAAATACAGGTTTGAACAATGGCCTCGCCAACTTCCTTGAAGCTCATCAACAAAGTCCGAGTGCTGGACCCGGCGAGCAAGTTGCTGGATGAGCTATATACAAGGGCAGATAACCCCGACACGCCCTCAGACGTGAGGACAACGGTAGGCAAAGCGCTAGAACTGACGGAGACACGGGAAGAATACAGTCGAAAGATGACGTATCCCGATACACCAGGTGCCCGGATGATCTGCGAGAAGACCTACGCAACGCCGTGGAAACAGCTCTACCAAGACGGCAAGATCGGGACACAGTACAGTGCACTTTGGTTGAGCGGTACTGGAGAAGGTATCTCAATATATGTGGAAGCATGAATGGTTTAATGTAGACTAAGGCTTAGTCTCTGAATATATGTGATTTTGATAGTAACAAATAAACCCATTTGAATTTAAAGGAGTCCCAGTCAGATGGGAAATTCAGAACCAGGGCCTAGATTGTCGAAGCTCTCTTAGCGCTAAGATAGTCGCAAGTGCCATACATTAACATTAACTTACGACTATCTTAGCGCTAAGAGAGCTTCGAAAATCTATGCCCAGGGAACTTATTCTCGAAACGTTCGAAGAGCTACGAATTCTTAACTTTGATCGTAGTCAATGTGTTACGAATGGGCTTAAGAAGTTCGTAGGTCTACGACCTAGAATAGCTAGCCTCAACCTGGGGAAATCTTGACTTACTTCATTTCGTGCTTTAGCACTGCAGGGAGGGCTTGGCAGTAGTGACAGTAATGTGGTTCAGGGACTGAGAGGCAGACTAGTTTTAATGCTGCAGCAATGCAAGGTAATAATAATAATAATAATAACATGCAGTGTGTTGAACAGAATAGCAATCCCACCGACTCCTTCGCCTGGATGAAGTCGGCTGGTCTTAAATGTGAAACTGAGGGCTTCCTTTTTGCTGCTCAGGACCAGTCACTTCCCACTCGTAATCGCCTAAATGTGATTCTTAAAGAGAATATTAACATGAAATGTCGACTTTGCAATGAATTTACAGAGACTGTCCAACACCTTGTCAGTGGATGCCCTTCCTTGGCACAAACAGCATATCTTAAACGACATGATGGCATGGCTCGTTGCTTTTACTACCGTCTCCGACATGCCTGTGGCTTTGACTTCGAGGTCCATCCATGGTACGACCCTGAACATGTCCAGGGCGTCATGGAAAATGATGCTTTCAAACTTCTGTGGAATAGGCCCATATACAGCCTCAGAAGAATTCCAGCTAACAAACCTGATCTTGTCCTTTTTGATAAAGCCAATGAATTTATTTATATCATTGAATTTTCTATCCCTTTTGACACCAATGTGATTGGCAAGATTCAGGAAAAGCATGATAAATATGCGGACCTCGCCTTTGAAATGTCTCGCTTGCATCCCAAGTACACTGTCGTCAGGCTCCCCATTGTTCTCGGTGCCCTTGGTTTGGCACCTCCTGATCTCTTGGCGCAGATCAGGAGAGTGCCCGGGTTCTCCACCGGGAGCACAGCCCTTCTGACACTCTGGGTAATGCAGAAGGCTGCAGTGTTGGGGAGCCTTCATATTCTCCGGAAAGTTCTTGGTGGGTTCGACTAGGCAGCGTTTCCTGGGAGAAGTCCCATTCGCTGTCTGGGCTGCGTGTAGAGGGGGCGAGGGCCCTGAGCTGATGATGAGCCTTACCAGCCTGACTGTGCCAGGATCACCCGAACCCTCTCTGCTGCATATTATCTTTAATCTGTAAAACATAATAATAATAATAATAATGATAATAATGTTTACTACCGTCTCCGACATGCCTGTGGCTTTGACTCCGAGGTCCATCCATGGTACGACCCTGAACATGTCCAGGGCGTCATGGAAAATGATGCTTTCAAACTTCTGTGGAATAGGCCCATATACAGCCTCAGAAGAATTCCTGCCAACAAACCTGATCTTGTCCTTTTTGATAAAGCCAATGAATTTATATATATCATTGAATTTTCTGTCCCTTTTGACAGGAATGTGATTGACAAGATCAAGGAAAAGCATGATAAATATGCGGACCTCGCCTTTGAAATGTCTCGCTTGCATCCCAAGTACACTGTCGTCAGGCTCCCCATTGTTCTCGGTGCCCTTGGTTTGGCACCTCCTGATCTCTTGGCACAGATCAGGAGAGTGCCCGGGTTCTCCACCGGGAGCACAGCTCTTCTGACACTCTGGGTAATGCAGAAGGCTGCAGTGTTGGGGAGCCTTCATATTCTCCGGAAAGTTCTTGGTGGGTTCGACTAGGCAGCGTTTCCTGGGAGAAGTCCCATTCGCTGTCTGGGCTGCGTGTAGAGGGGGCAAGGGCCCTGAGCTGATGATGAGCCTTACCAGCCTGACTGTGCCAGGATCACCCGAACCCTCTCTGCTGCATATTATCTTTAATCTGTAAAACATAATAATGTCTATTAATATTGCGCTAGGTTCCATCCACAGAGTGGCATGCTCAAGGCGCTACAATAGTCACATATGAGAAGTTCACGGGAGGAGATAGTTCGTAGGGATAGAACTTTCTAAAGAGAAAGGTTTTTAGGTTGGTTTTGAATGTCTCAAGGGTGGGGGATTCTTTAATGTTCTGAGGTAGTGGGTT